AGCACTGACCCTCCTGCAGTGCAGCGCTCCCTCAGCACTGACCCTCCGACAGTGCAGCTCTCCCTCAGCACTGACCCTCCTGCAGTGCAGCGCTCCCTCAGCACTGACCCTCCGACAGTGCAGCTCTCCCTCAGCACTGACCCTCCTGCAGTGCAGCGCTCCCTCAGCACTGACCCTCCGACAGTGCAGCTCTCCCTCAGCACTGACCCTCCTGCAGTGCAGCGCTCCCTCAGCACTGACCCTCCTGCAGTGCAGTGCTCCCTCAGCGCAGACCCAGCTGAGTGTTAGTGCTGGACGGTGGAATGTGAGGTTCTGAGTTGTGTTCTTGAGCCATTAGCCTGGGATTGAGTGCGAGCTGATCCAACTACAGGCCAACTGTGTACCTTAGTGAAGTTCATTATCCCATCACCTAATGGGGGATTGTAATTAATCTGTTTGTGTCGTCTCTTTTGCCCAGTTTTCAATCTGTTGAGACCCCTCATGGTTCTGTTGTCACGATGATAAGTGGTGTAACTGCTGACCTTTTCCAGACTGAGTGGTTCTTTGTTACTGGACAGCACGTGTCCATTAACCGTGAGTATATATTTGAAAGTGAAACTGATTTCAGTGTGAAGTTTATTTTCTGGAGATACTCAGTGCATGCAAGCAATAACTCTCCTTGTGTGCCTTCTGTTTATTCCCTGCTATCCTTCTCCTTAAGTTACTTGAAAGACCCAAGCCACGGCAAAGATAAAGGAGGTTTTGGTGCCAGGGATTTAGTTCACTAAATCTTCCCCAGTGCTACACACTGATCGAGATTGGAAGTACCATACTGTGTTCGCTAGTGGAAACTGCCCTTCTATAAATCTGACTGGTTTAGGTCGGAGGTTTGGAGAGAATGGGGAGTGATCGGTAAGACAAGGGGAGAAGGAGAGTGAGAGATATGAGAAACCAAAGGATGACTGAGTGGTGGATGATACAAGGGCTGGCACCAAGAGGGCATGAAGGGACCTGGTTACCCTTGTGCAATGGCCATTCACGGCAAGCAAGCAAGTGCAGAGAGCAGTTAGGATGGTATGCCATCTGTTGGCCTTCATAGGACAAGGGTATGAATACAAGAGCAAGTCTTACAAGGCCTTGACGAGACCAAACAGGGAATATTGCAAGCAGTTTTGGCCTCCTTACCTCAGGAAGGGTATATATGCTGTGGAGGGAGTGCACTGTCTGATTCCTAAGGTGACTGGTTAATTAAAGGAGGAGGGATTGAGTCGAGTGAACCCATATGGACTGGAGTGTTAGAAGAATGAGAGGAGATCTGAATTCTGACAGGGCTGGAGGTGGCACGTGTCCCTTGGTCGAAGAGTGGGGGAGTCCGGAACAAGGCCTCAGGATACAATATAGGAAACTTTGGAATGAGGTGAGGCTAGTCGACCTGAGGTATTGTGCATCAGTGAAGGCTGTGGAGGTTGAGTCGCTGAATAGATTCAAGAGAGAAAATGACATGAATCTAAATGACATAAGGGTTAGAGGGGAGAGAACTGGCATACAGCAATGTGACAGAAGATCAGCCACGACCACATTGACTGGTAGATAACACACCATCGACTAAATGGTCTAGCTCTGCTTCTATCGTCTATGTTTCTGAGAGGATTTTAGGATCGTACTATATGTGGAGACAATTACAGGGGAGCTGGAGAGATTCTGTGAGGGTATCGAGCAAATGTGTGCATGAATTAAGCTGTGAATGCCCCCAAGCAGCAAGTATAAGGTCAGGGTGAATTAAATGTGAATATTAGCCAAGGGAGGAAGGCAGTGACATTACTGTGACCAATAGGCGTGTGGTAGGGACTCTGCTAGAAGGTTGGAGCTTGAGACGTTTCAGGCAGAGATACCTGCACCTGAACCCTCATCTATGCAGTGACCTCAATCACTGGTTGATCAATAAGTGCAGAGTGATCTGACTGGGAGAGATGAGACCACACTGCACTTCTGAAGAGATTTCTTCGGAATCTGAGGTGGTGGTGCAGAGAGACAAAATCGATTTGCACCTCAAACAAATGATAAACACGAAGCAAGTCTCACACACAGGCCCACACACATACAGGAGGGAGGCACGAGGACACCCTTCCAAGCCAACATAAAGCTGCAGAATCCCCAAACGAAAGGCCGACAGTTCGGAGAGACAGTTGCGGGGGGTGGGGTTTGTGGGGACCAGAGGAGATGAATCTAAAGTCTTGCCAATTATTCTTTCAGTCCCAGTGTGGTCTCTCGCTGAAATCGCAGCTACGTTTTGAATTTCCGACTGAGTCACAGAGTCATACAGAGACCCTTCGGCCCACCTCGTCCATGCCAACCAGATCTCCCAAACTGAAATAATCCTATTTGCCAGCATTTGGCCCATATCCCTCTAATCTCTTCCTATCCATGTCCCCATCCAGATGCCTTTTAAATGTTGTAATTGTACCAGCCTCCACCACTTCCTGTGGCAGCTCGTTCCATACACACACCACCCTCTTTGTGAAAAAGTTGCCCCTCAGGTCCCATTTAAATCTTTCCCCTCTCACCTTAAACCTTTGCCCCTCTAGTTTTGGACTCCCCTACCCTGGGGGAAAAGATCTTGTCTATTCACCCTATCCATACCCCTCATGATTTTATAAACCTCTATAAGGTCACCCCTCAGCCCCCAACACTCCAGGTAAAATAGCCCCAGCCTATTCAGTCTCTCCCTGTAGCACAAACCCTCCAACCCTAGCAACATCCTTGTAAATCTTTTCTGAATTCTTTCAAGCTTCACAACATCCTTCCTATAGCAGGGAGACCAGAATTGAACGCAGTATTCCAAAAGTAGCCGAATCAATGTCCTGTACAGCCGCAATATGATGACCCAAATCTGAGCTCATATTCTCCTCACCACCTTGTTTGGAACAGGTCTCGAAGACTACCAACCGTCTGATGGAGAGACTATCCTTGCGATATACACTTTGCGAATGTTCCCAAGGCATTGGCCTACTCATTGAGACGCCTTGAAAAGGTCTGAGGAAAAGAAATTGATTGTCACCATCAGTGGCTCTGATTATGAAACTCTTGTTCTCTGTAATTTTTCTAACTGATTTTAAATCATTTTGTGGAGGTGACCTGCCACACAGAGGTTTTACCTGTAATAGTATCAGATTCAAGACGTTTTCACATGGCATTGAATTAAACAGTTACATTGACAAACAGCAGTTCATTGAGTTTGAGCTTTTCTTCTGAAAGTCAGACAAATGCTAAAGTGTTGCTTTCAGTATTGAGGGAGCAGGGAGTTGTTGGATGGGGAGTGACCCTCCGACAGTGCGGCGCTCTCTCAGCACTGACCCTCCGACAGTGCGGCGCTCCCTCAGCGCTGACCCTCCGACAGTGCGGCGCTCCCTCAGTGCTGACCCTCCGACAGTGCAGCACTCCCTCAACACTGACTCTCCGACAGTGCCCGTTCCCTCAGCACTGACCCTCCGACAGTGCGGCGCTCCCTCAGCCCTGACCCTCCGACAGTGCGGCGCTCCCTCAGCACTGACCCTCCGACAGTGCGGCTCTCCCTCAGCACTGACCCTCCAACAGTGCGGCGCTCCTTCAGCACTGACCCTCCGACAGTGTGACACTCTCTCAGCACTGACCTTCGGTACTGATGACATCCATGCCTGTATCCCATTGTTTTGGAAAGTGCACCTGTCCAGGAACGAATGCCTGACTTTTGAACAGAGTCATTTTGGAAATGTTTGATGCCTTTTCCAGAGGTCTGGCCATTGTAAGACTTGAACAGATTGGTGTTCATGTTAATGTGCTACATTTCCACTGGGAACATTTTCTTGCATCGTTTCTCTTTGATGCTAAATTGCGATGCACTGGCTAACTCTCAGCTATGCTGAATACCTGCTTAACCTGAGTTTGTGGAACAAAACACTGGAACATTCAACATTTTTCTATAGAATTGTCCGAGATGGTATTACATACATTTGGTGAAGGTGGGATTTGAAACCATGCCTCTTGTCTGAAAGGTAACAAAGCTACCAATGCACCACAAGAGCCTTGAACGCAAATTTCTTTGGAATGATTTTATTCAATTCCATCGTACTCACGGAAGTCTGGTCATACGTGTAATTTCCATGTGGTTTCGAGTACCACCACTGGCTGGAGGGTGTTCTTGTATCATGATATTTTTCCTCTTATTCTAAATGTTGTGGCTGGTTGAATTCCCCTTTGCTGGAGACAGTGAGTTTGCTTCTGAAATCCTCTGCAGGAACCCACCGTGAGTGGTAAAGATGACTTCTGGTGGGTTTTCAGCAGCGAGGAAATGAAGATTGAGAGAGTGAGCAAACATCGATTACACACACACACACTCACTGTCTCTCACATACACACATATAGACACACATTCACACGCAAAGACAGACACACATACATGCAGACACACACACACACGCAGACAATCACGCACACATGCAGACACACACAGACAAACACACAGACACACAAACGGATAAGCACACATGTACAGAAACACACATGTTCACACACTTGCACACGTGCAAGTTTCATTCTGGATTATCTGTCCCGTGCATGTGCATTTTTGAAGCCTGAGGGGTAATCAACAGACAACGCATGCCTGATCCAACATCGGATCAGGCCATTCAGCCCAACATGCCTATGCAGGCCCTGTGACCAAACTCTGCAAATATCCTCCACTTTCACCTCGCTTTGTCTTCACAGCCCTGTTTGGATTTATTTGTGTTACTGTTTGTGGAGTTACAGCGAAGAAGCAGTATCTTTCCCTGGAGAGCAGGGAGAATGTGGGACTAGCTCCTATGGGGAATGGCCGAGGTGAATTGAATCGATATGTTAAAGGGCAGCGGTGGGGGAAGGGTTGAAGCTGGATAAACATCTGAGGATACGGCGACACCATAAGATTAAGAGGGGATCAGGAGAATAATTATGTGGAGCATAAACGCTAGCAGGGAGCAAATGGCCTGAATGGTCTGTGCCTATGCAATTCTACTAAAAGTTGCATCCTTCTCCAAACATTCTCGTCATTTCCCCCAACTTGCTACTCATTGGCCCCAATTATTGCTAAGAGCTGGAAGGGGGAATTGAGCCGAATTATTCAATTTTGCCTCTCGTGGAGATGATGGGCCAAAGCGGCTGATGTTGGAGACATAAAACCATAGAATCTCTACCATGTGGCAGCACGCCATTCAGCCCATACCAACCCTCCCAGTGAATCCCACCAAGACCCAACCCCCTAACCCTGCATTTCCCACAGCCAATCCACCCTAACCTGCACATCCCTGGGCACTATGGGTAATTTAGCACGGCAAGTCCACCCTAACCTGCACATCCCTGGGCACTATGGGTAATTTAGCATGGCGAATCCACCCTAACCTGCACATCCCTGGGCACTATGAGACAATTTAGCATGGCCAATCCACCCTAACCTGTACATCTTTGTACTGTGGGAGAAACCCACGCAGACACAGGGGAGAATGGGCAAACTCCACACAGACAGTTGCCCGAGGGTGGGATCAAACCCGGGTCCCTGGTGCTGTGAGGCAGCATTGCTAACGACTGAGCCACTGTCTGAGGTATATAGTTAGCAGGCTTTATAGCTCATGTTAGAGACAAAAAAACTGCAGATGCTGGAATCCAAGGTGGACAAACAGGAGGCTGGGAGAACACAGCAGGCCAGGCAGCATCTGGAGGAAAGGAGCAGTGTATGTGTATGCATCTACTTGTAAAATTGCCATCTTCCACTTTATAAAGGTCTGTGATCCAAGTATTAATCCAAATGTTGACTAGACCGATAAGTATATATTCTGTACGTTTGTATATATTATCGTGATAATGGAGCAGGACTGAAGAAGGGTTATACCTGAAACATTGAGTGCTCCTTTCCTCCAGATGCTGCCTGGCCTGCTATGTTCTTCCAGCCTCCTGTTTGTCTCCATAGCTCAGGGGTTAGAGTACTGGCCTTGTTAAACCAGTGATTGCACTGGTTCAAATCTCAGTGCGGCCTTTTTGCATTTTGTTCCGTTGCCAAGCCACACTCAATTTAAAAACCTTCACGTTTTCGATTTTAAAGAGCTTGGGGACTGAGCTCTGAAACAACAGACACTAGCCTGTCACTTACGTTCTGAGGAAGGGTCACCGGACCCGAAGCGTTAACTCTGATTTTTCTCTCCACAGATGCTGCCAGACCTGCTGAGCTTTTCCAGCAACTTCTGTTTTTGTCACCTATTTTGTTGAGTTGAATTCCAAATTGCCTTCTTTTTGCCAGCACAGAACACGGTTCTGTGTATTAACGGATCTAAGTTAGAGGTTGTTCATCTCAGACACTCTGAGATTCCAAATAACAATCCCTGATTGTTTCTGCCTGTCGTTTTATCACGCTGGTCGGCTTATTCACCAAATGCTGCCCAGTTGCAGCAAAACACTCAGTTGCAAGGACGGGCTGGTTAGATACAGTCAGTACCCTTCCCTGAGGCCAACAGCTGAGTGGGTAAGCAGCCTGCTTTTGTGGGGAACGCTTCTCGCACTGGAGGGTGCCAGAGAAGGACAGCTATCTTCACCTATCCTCCAACCTGTGAGATACCCTAGCCTCCCAGGATACACAGAAGTAACTGCGGCTTGTCTCGAGCCCAAACAAGGTGGCTCTGGGAGATAGTAAGAACTGACGATGCTGGAGTCAGAGATAACACAGTGTAGAGCTGGACGAACGCAGCAGGCCCAGGCAGCATCAGAGGAGCAGGAAAGCTGACATTTCTGTCGGGACCATTCTTCAAAACCTGTGCATCTTCTGTCCCACCTCACTGACCCATCCCCCCCACTCCCTACCTGCACCCACCTATCATCATCCCACCTACATTCACAGCCCCATCTATTCTCTCTATTTATTTCAGAGCTCCCTTCGCCCTCCCCCATTTTCCGAAGAAGGGTCTAGGCCCGAAATGTCAGCTTTCCTGCTCCTCTGATGCTGCCTGGCCCTGCTGCGTTCCTCCAGTTCCACACAAGGGTGGCCCTGGGCTTGTTTGTGAGTTTATGGGACACGGAGAGAGAAAAACGTTCTGATAATAACACAAGAACTAGGAGCAGGAGGAGGCCATTCAGCCCCTCAGGCTTCCTTTGCCATCCAATACGATCATGGCTGATCTCATCTCGGCCTCAACTCCATTTTCCTGCCCGTTGTCTAGAATCCTTCAACCCGCTACGAATGAAAAGTCTATCTCCTTCTCAACTTTACTCAATGTCTCAGCAACCAACAGTGAATTCCACAGGTTCGCAATCCTTTAAGGGAAGTCATTTTTCCTCATCTGTGTTTTAAATCTGCTCAACCCTTGAGCTAAAACTCTGACTCTCATTCTAGATTGTCCCACATGAGGAAATATCCTCTCTACATCTACTTGGTCAATCTACTTCAGAATCTTGTAGACTTCAAGTGGATCTCATCTTATTCTTCTAAATTTCAGAGAGTATTGGCCTTAACTACTCAATCTCTCTTCATAAGACAGACCTCTCATCTCTGAAATCAATCTAATGAACCTCCTCTGAGCTGCCTCCAATTCAACTACAGCCCTCCTCTAGTAAGGAGACCAAAATTGTACAGAATTACCAGGATGTTGCCGAGTGTGGAAGGTTTGAGTTATAAAGAAAGGCTGGATAGACTGGGACCTTTTTCACTGGAGTGTAGGAGGTTGAGAGGCAACCTTATAGAAGTTCATAAAATCATGAGGGATATAGATAAGGTTAATGGTAGTTGTCTTTTCCCTAGGACAGGGGATTTCAACACTAGGGAGCACACTTTTAAGGTGAGAGGAGAGAGATTTTAAAAAGACAAGAGGTGCAATGTTTTTTTCACAAAGGGTGGTTCATATATGGAATAAACTTCCAGAGGAAGTGGTGGATGTGGGTACAGTTACAACATGTAAAAGACATTTGGATAAGTACATGATTTGGAAAGGTTTGGAGGGATATGGGCCAGGAGCAGGCAGGTGGGACTAGTCTAGTTTGGGATAATGTTCAGCACTGACTGGTTGGGCTGAAAGATCAGTTTCTGTACTGTATGATTCTTTCACTCTATGTGATCAGACTAATGCTTGCTCAGTTGAAGTGAAACTGCCCCTTT